ACGGTCAAAGAGAAAGGTCTTGAGACCGGCCTTGGAGGAAAAGGAGGAAGCAAGGCGAAGGCACTGGGGGATAGAGTTCCAGAGCCTCAGGGCTGAGAGGCTGAAGGCCCGGCCACCGATGGGGGATGTGGAGGAGACCGGAGCCAGAGGAACGGAGGGTACGTACAGGTAGATAGGGGGATAGTAGATCAGAGAGGTAGGAGGGAGCAAGGCCGTGAATGGCCTTGTAGGTGAGGGTGAGGATCTTGAAATCAATCCTCTGGGGGATGGGGAGCCAGTGGAGGCGAGCGAGGGTGGGAGTGCTGTGGTCGCGAAGCCTGGTGCGGGACAGTACACGAGCTGCAGAGTTCTGAATGACCTGCAGCTTGTGGAGGGAGGTGCCGGGAAGGCCGGCGAAGAGAGAGTTCCCGTAGTCCAGCCTTGAGGTGATAAAGGCGTGGACCAGAGTTTCAGCAGCGTGAGGGGTGAGGTAGTGCCGTAGTCTGGCGATGTTCCGGAGGTGATGGAAGGCGGTGCCAGTTGTGGCGCGGATTTGAGGGAGAAAGGACAGCTCAGGGTCGAACAAAACGCCGAGGTTCCTGAATGGCTTTGAGAGGTGGAGAGTGCAGCCTTGGATGCTGATGGTGTCGGCGCCTGAGGTGCGGAGGCGCTGACGCGAACCAATCAGAAGGGCCTCAGTTTTGCGCATGTTGAGCTGAAGAAAGTTGTCTCTCGTCCAGGACTCGATGTCGGACAGGCAGCTGTTAGGACATCGGTGGTCGTGGAGTTGAGGGTAGAGGAGGAAAGGTAGAGTTGGGTGTCATCCGCATACATGTGGAAGTTAACCCCATGTCTGCGGATGATGTCACCAAGGGGGAGCATATAGAGGGTGAAGAGGAGGGGACCGAGGACAGAGCCCTGAGGAACACCACACGAGACAGTGTGGGGTCTGGAGGAAAAGCCGTTTGTAGAAACAAAATGAAGACGGTGGGAGAGGTATGACCTAAACCACTCAAGGACAGGGCCTTGAAGGTTGAGGTGGGAGGACAAGCGGTGGAGGAGGATAGCGTGGTCGACCGTATCGAATGCTACCGATAGGTCGAGGAGGACGAGGAGGCAGAGGGAGCCCTGGTCGCAGATGGTCAGGATGTCATTGGTGACCTTGACCAGGGCAGTTTCTGTGCTATGGGCAGCGCGGAAACCCGACTGAAGGGGTTCGAATAATGAATGGGTGGAGAGGAAAGAGCGCAGCTGGGAGGCGACAACTCCTTCAAGGACCTTGGACGGCAACAACTCTTTCAAGGACCTTGGACAACAACTTGGATTTATATAGTGCCCTCCACGCCAGATGGCGTCTCAGAGCGCTTCATAGTAACGGGGCCGAGCCAGGGGGACCGTGAGGAAAGTGACCAAAGGCGCGGTCGAAAAGGTCTTCAGCCGAGACCTGAAAGTGGGAAGAGAGGGAAGAGAGGGGGCGAGACGAAAGGAGCGAGGAAGGGAGTTCCAGAGCCTCAGGGCCATAGTGGCTGAAGACATGGTTGCTGATGGTGGAGCGGAGGACTCGGGGGACAAGTAGAAGCCCAGACCCAGTGGAGCGAAGGCAGAAGCTACACCAAATCATAGAATCATAAAATGATAAAGCACAGAAGGAGGCCATTCAGCCTATCGTGTCTGTGCCGGCTCTTTGAAAAGAGCTATCCAAATCAATCCCATTCCCCTGCTCTCTCCCTAAAGCCCTGTAAACTTGTCCTCCCCAAATAATTATCTACTTCTCTCTTAAAAGTTGTTATCGAATCAGCTTCCACCACCCTTTCAGGCAATATACTCCAAACAACTCGCTGTGTGAAAACATTTCTTCTCATCTCCACTCTTTCTTTTGACAACCATTTTAAATCCGTGTCTTCGGGTTACTGACCCACCCGCCAGTGGAAATAATTTCTCCTTGTTCACCCCATCAAATCCCTCATAATTTTTAAACTTCTATTAAGTCTCCTCTTAACCTTCTCTGCTCCAAGGAGAATAATCCCAGCTTCTCTAGCTTCTCCTGATAACTGAAGTCCCTCATTCCTGGTACCATTCTGGTAAATTTCCTTTGCACCTTCTCCAGTGCCTTGACATCCTTCCTAAAGTGTGTGCTCAGAACTGAACATTGCTCTCTAGCTGAGGTTTGACCAGTGTTTTATTATTCATCAAAATTTCCTGACTTTTGTATTCCATGCCCCTATTTATGAAGCCTAGTATCCCATATTCTTTCTTTAAACAGCTTTATCTACCTGTCCTGCCACCTTCAAAGATTTACTTATATAATCTCCCAGGACTCTCTGTTCCTTCACCCCCTTTAAGATTGTACCATCAGCTTGTATTGCGTCTCCTCATTCTTCCTCCTAAAATGCATCACTTCGCATTTCTCCACGTTAAACTTCATCTGCCACGTGTCTACCCATTTTACCAGTCTGTCTGTGTCCTCTTGCAGTCTGCTACTATCCTCCTCACTGTTTACTACTTTTCTTAGCTTAGTATCATCTGCAAGCTTGGAAATTGTACTCCCTGTACCCAAGTCAAAATCATTTATACAGATTAAAAAGAGCAGTGGCCCTGGGGGACACCACTGCACACTTCCCTCCAGTCAGTAAAACAACCGTTCACCACCACTCTCTGCTTTCTGTCTCCCAGCCAGTTCTGTATCCATGCTGTCACTGTCCCTTTAATACTGTGGGCTTCTATTTGCTTACGAGTCTTTTATGTGGAACTTTATCAAACGGCTTTTGGAAATCCATATACACTACAACAACTGCACTACCGTTATCCATCCTCTCTGTTACTTCATCAAAAAAGTCTGTCAGGTTTGTTAGACATGATTTGCCTTTAACAAATCCATGCTGGCTGTCATTTATTAACCCATATTTTTCTAAGCAAAAATTTAATTTGTCCCGGATTATAGTCTCTGGAAGGTTCCCCACTGCTGACACTAGGCTGACTGGCTTGTGGTTCCTGGGTTTATCCTTCTGCTCCTTTTTTGTACAGCGGAGTAACATTTTCGACCCTCCAGTTCTCTGGTACCACCCCGGTGTCCAAGGAGAATTGAGAGATTGTGGACAGAGCCTCTTCTATTTCCACCTTACGTCCCTCAGTAACCTAGGATGCATTCCGTCCGGACCAGGTAACTTATCTATTTTGAGCACCATCAACCTTTTCGGTATCTTCTCTCTGTTTATTCTTATCATATCCAATTTCTCTGCTCTCTCCTCCAATACTATGGCATTGGCTGCATCCTCTTCTTTCGTGAAGACAGATGCAAAGTACTCATTCAGTACGTCAGCTATGCCCTCTGCCTCCACAAGAAAATGTCTTCTTTAAGAACATAAGAAATAGGAGCAGGAGTAGCCATTCAGCCCCCCGAGCCTGCCCCACAATTTAATAAGATCATGGCTGATCTTCTAACCTAATTCAATTTAACTGCCCTATCCCCATATCCCTTTTTAAAAAAAAACTATCAATCTCAGTCTTGAAATTGACTCCACCCTACCTTTGACTAACCTTTTATTCTTTATATGCTTACAAAATACCTTAGGGTTCTCTTTTATTTTACCTCCTAATCTTTTCTCATACAGTCTCTTTGCCCCTCTTATTTCCTTTTTCAATTCTCCTCTGTACTTTCTATATTCTATTTGATTATCTTCTGTATTTTGGACCTGACATTTATCATAAGCCTCCTTTTTCTGTTTTATTCTAATCCCAATTTCCTTATTCATCCAGGGAGATTTGGATTCCCTACCTTTCCCCTTTGTGCGAATGTATTTGTTCTGTCCCTGAACTATCTCCTCCTTGAAGGCTTCCAATTGCTTGTTAGCTGTTTAACTGTCAGTCTTTCTTTTCAGTCCACCTTGGCTAGGTCCCTTTTTTAAACTCACTGAAATTAGCCCTCTTCCAGCTGAGTATCTTCACCTTTGATTGTTTCTTGTCCCTTTCCATAAGTACTCTAAACCTAATGATGTTGTGTTCACGGTTGTCCAGATGCTTTCCTACTGAAACCTGCTCCACTTACCCCACTTCATTCCCCAGAACTAGATCCAGCAGTGCTTCCTTCCTTGTTGGGCTGAAAACATATTGATTCAGAAAGTTATCCTGCACACATTTCAGGAATCCTTCCCCCTCCTTGCTCTTTACACTATTTTTTGCCAGTCTATGTTAGAATAATTGAAGTCCCCCATTATCACTACTCTATTGGTTTTGCATCTTTCTGAAATTTGCTTGCAGGTTTGTTCCCCTCTCTCCTATCTCCTATCTACTATTTGGTGCTCTATAGTATACACCTAATACATCAGGTATACATAGAGTAATAACTCCTTAACTCTAACCAAATAGTTTCTGTTTTTGGACTCTCTAGCACATTGTGCCTTTCCAGGACTAACCAAATTTGCCATACTTCCTCCTTTTTTTCTTTCCCTATTCCTCCTGAATACATTGTAGGCAGGAATATTCAGCTCCCATTCCTACTCTTGTTTGAGCCAGGTCTCCGCTATGACCACTTCATCAAAACCCCATGTGGCAACTTGAGCCTACAGTTCACCAACCTTATTTGTCACACTCTGTGCATTTACCCACATGCACTCCAAGACTGACTTAATCTGCTCTGCATTTCTCCCCCGTCGAATCCTTCCCTTTTCTGGACTACTCCTTATTGCATTACTATTCGTCTCTTCTATGTAACTCTCCTTTCTGATGCTGCATTCTGATTCCCTTCCCCCTTCAAGATTAGCTTAAACCTTTCTCCACAGTTAACCTCCCCGTGAAGACATTGGTTCCAGCCATGTTTAAGTATAACCCATCCACCTTGTACCGGTTCCACCTGCCCCAGAACTGGTCCCAATGTTCCAGGAACCTGAAGCCCTCCTTTCTGCACCATTTATCTAGCTATCCATTCATGTGTTTGATCCTGCTGTTTTGATACTCACTTGCACAAAGCTATTGGAGTAATCCAGAGATCACCACTTCTGAGATCCTACTCTTTAGCTTTTTACCTAGCTTCTGATACTCTCCTTGTAGGATCTCTTTCCTTTTTTTCCCTCCTATGTCATGAACCCTAACATGGACCACGACTTCTGGGTGTTCCCCTTCCCCCTGTAGAATTTTTGCACCCATTCTGTGATGCCTTCAACACTGGCACCAGGGAGGCAACAAACCATGCAGAGTCATGTCTTTGGTTTGTGTACCCCTGTGCATCCAATTGCTTTTGACTCCTCTCCCCCGGAGCTGTCAACACCCTCACCGGATTTTAAGTGCCTCAAACCAGTTTGTGAGTGCCACACACTCAGGGGATTTCTGCATTGCACATCCCCTCTTATCATGACAGGTGGTCACCCATTCACTCTCCTTCTGAACCCTCTGTGGCTGTGGGGTGACCACCTCCTGAAACATTCGATCCATGAATTCTTCAGCCTCCCATATGCAATGCAGTGAAACCAGCTTCTCTTCAAGCTCAAAAACCCTGAGCTCAAGCTCAAGCAGCCAGAGACACTTTCTACAAATGTGTTTGTCAATGGCACACAAAGCATCCTAGAGTTCCCACATGGCATGCATTGTGCATGCAACAGGTCTCTGCTGCCCTGCCATATTCCCAGACATGTTTTATATTATTTTAATATAAATATTATATATTTTGTACCTATTACACCTCTTTCACCCTGTGCACCAAGTTCCCACTTTCACCAAATTCCTTAACAGAAGTCTCACTCTGTTGCCACCTAGCTCTATTGCTTGAGTGAGGCGCTCTCAAATCTCCCCTTTATATAAGCCTCTGACACAACCAGTTTCAACTGGTCAGCAAATAATTAACTAATCCCTAACACCTAGCCTGCGACGAACTACCAGTTTGACTTGGGAATCTCAAATGCAAGAATTATTTTATTTTTTTACTTCTGAAAAGCTTTACCACTGCAGAAGCACAGAACGTATTATGAAACCTCAAATCAAAGTGCCCCATGAAAGCTTTGTGGCTGTTATGATGGAATAAATTGCCGCCTTGGTGAAAAAATTAATTAAACCTACAGCTTGACATAAAATAATTTGTTCAAACGAATCAGAATTTATGCCGGTGATGGTTTTTTAACAGCCTCATATCTGAGATTCTCTGCAAGCTCAGACAGATCCTCCCGAGATGCAAGTAAACACTGATCTTAAACAAAAGACTGACTTGTTAAAAAAAATGACAGCACGCAGGAAGGCATGTGGCTGCTGTGGGATTTAACATGTCGGGAGTTGTTGGCCTATCTGCATAAACAGCTCATAAACTGGGAACTCTTCTGTGAACTTGTCAATTGAGAGCGTGGAGTTCTCAATTTGGTCTGATTATCTTCACCTCAGCTAACAGATTCTAATGATACAAAGAGAAGAATGCACCAAATCCACTGGACAAAATGGGAAGAATTTCCGCACGGAGACTCCGACATAAGAAAAACAGTGGGATCTCCTGTATTCCGTGGCTTGTGGCGTGTGCAAAGAAATTCCCTAAAACCAGAACTGAATGCAAACCACCTAATCGTATTAGCACTGACTAAAGGAGAATTCACAAAGGATTTTTGCTAATCTGAAAAGCCCCTGTCATTGTATTTGCAGACCTGACAAGCTTTCCACCAGCAAAGGTTTTGCAGCAACTGCCCTTAGTATTCTGTCGGAAAAATGCCTTCAACTTTCCCAGATAACTTCATAGCTGTTTGTGCGACATTAGCTGCCATGTTCAGATACAAAACATATAGTCATTACACTAAACAATAAATCCTGAGAGACACCCTGCTGATGTGAAAGGTGCTGTATCAAATGCAAGAATTATTATATTTTGAGGGAATCTGTGACAATTTCATCTTCACCAGCCTGGTCTATCTGAGCACTGGTACTTTTAATAGAAAATACATTCGTTATAATTCCTCTTACCATTACTAATTAATGTAAAAGCCACATTACATTGTCATCTAGTTTAGTGACAGAATCACTGCCATTGTAATAATAATATTAATCTTGCATTTGATACAGTGCCTTTCTTGTCGCTTCACAGGATTTTATTGCAAAGTGTAGTGACTGTGTACCTTGTAGGCAAACGCAAACTGCAATATTTAACTTATGCAAGCAGCATCTCTTTCTCCTCTTAAGAGAGTATTACTCTCTTAAGAAGAGTCCTGTCGTGTAGCTCAGTGGTTAGAGCACTCGTCTTGCAAGCGAGACACCTGGGTTCAGTTCCAGGCAGGGCGAAACCTTGGGCAAGTTTCCTTACTCCACACGCCTAATAATAATCCCTCCAAAAGAAAACAATAATAAATTGGTCATTTTCAATCCATGACTGTTTGTGGGACACTGCTGTGCGCAATTGGCTGCCACGTTTTGCCCACAAATATACGGTCAATTCACTTTACAGTCTATTCTGTGAAGCGCTTTGAGAAGTCTAGAAGATGTGAAAAGCGCTATATCAAATGCAAGGATTATTATTATTATTATATTACCATGCTTTGTGGGATAGCACTAAGAGAAGCAGGCTGAATAAAACACAGTGTTTGACCATTGGTCAAGTTCAGTAGATGTATCTGCCAATGAAATATATTCTGATTTGGTATTGTTGGAACAGCTCACAGTCTCTAAAACCTTGGGACATCCTCCCGACATGAAGGGCGCTTTATAAATGCAATTTGTTGTTGTTGTTGTTGTAAATCGATTCTAATAATAATGATAATACTGACCAGATATTTGATATAGCTCTTTATCATGTTGACAAGGCTTTTCTGCAATGTGTAGTGACTGTATTTATAGACAATTCTACCAGCGAACCAACCTGTATGGAGGAACCGAGCCTCCTAAACACATTCAAGGAACGGGTTCTGTATGACTAGTACTTGAACTCTGCAATTTCCCCCTTGAGTGGGAGTAAGAGAAAATTTTGGATCCTTCAGACATATACCTTGTTACATTATTCTTCTTTTAGGAAGGATTGCAAAACATTGGGGATTTAAAAAAAATTTCAAATGGTTAAAAAAATACATTTCAGTATTTTTCTTCTTCTGTTTTTGGAAATAACCTTTTAAGCGCTCTCTCTGTGGATCAAGTGTCCATGTCCCAGGGCAATATTTTCAGATTTTCTTATTTTACGTTTTCCAAGTTGGCATGTTGTGATTGCCTTTGAGCCAAAATGTATGATGTGCACTTGTGGCATGTTCATCATTATGCAATGCCTTGAGATTGTTTAATTCCACTGAGACGTGGACTCGGAGAAGAAGTAGCAGGCAGGTTGGACAATTCTGTATCTTTCCACAGTATGAGCAATGTTTGAGGAATAAGGAGTACTTTTAAACAACAACTTTTACATTGCTGATATATATATATATATATATAGGAACATAGAAACAGGAGTAGGCCATTCAGCCACTCTAACCTGTTCCGCCATTCTATAAGATCATGACTGATCGGTACCACATCTCCAATTATCCGCCCTTGCCCCATATCCCTTGATACCCTCTCCTAACAAATATCTATCCACCTCAATCTTGAACATTTGAATGAATCCAGCAGCCACAGCCTTTCAGGGGAGAGAGTTCCAGATTTCCACTAACATTTTCAATTTAATTTTGACAGACATACTTGTACGCAAACACTGTTCTCTGTGCCCCTTGCATTTATTTTGGTTGACATTTAGGTCATGCCTTGGGTTAGTTCTAAAATTTTGGGATAATAGAACAGACCTTTATAATTGTGAAATGTGTTACTGTCTGATCCTATCCAGTGTATAACATAAAATAGAAAAGAGATGGAAGCTTCTCTCAGTGCTCTGGCCAAGAATCCTCCAGTTATAATTGGGCATTCAACTCATGACTATTTGTGGAGCACTGCTGTGCACTATTGGATGCCGTGTTTTGCCCACAAAATACGCAATCGATTCACTTTCTAGTATATTCTATGAAGCACATTGTGACGTCTCGAAGATGCTATGAGGTACTAAATCAAATTCAAGTATATTATTAAGAGATTACATTTTACTGGAGAAACTACGTGTTTGAAATTCCGGGGGACAAATGTTAAAATAACAGATGCTTAGGCAAAAAGTTACTGGCGTATAAAGTTGAGGGATTCTTTGTGCACTTGTTACTTCACCCTTTGAAATTCACAGCAATCCTAAACCAACCTAGAACAAGTACTTTGTGATATGTTATTTGATCATAAAGGTAATACTTGTTTCCCTGAATCTTCACCAGCATTTTCGTCTTACCATGTCAAAGTAGATGCTTTGTAATAACTAGAATCAAATCAAGCTTGTAACATGCTTATTTCTGGCAAAAGCTTTCTGACAAGTGCAGTGCCCAAATGATCGTAGTATAACATTAGTCTCTGAACTGAAATCCACATCTTATTAGTCTTAAAATGTGAGTTTGTGTGCAATTTTAGAAAAATGTCTTCAATTCAGTCAGGACGCTAGTTTTCTGCAATAATGAAAAATAAATACTGAAAACCTTAAAGGCAGCTGCAAGTTCCTTCATATCAGTCTAAACCCAAAAATAAATAATTAAAAGTAGGAATTAAAAGCCTCTAAAAAGACAAGCTCTAAAAGTTGGCAACTAAAGCAAAACATAAGCTGAAGTGACCTCTCCTGCGGTGCCAAAAGACTGGTGTTAAATTCATTCATAATCGAGGTAGGTTTCTTTCTTCACCTCACTTCCCTTTTCAGGTTGTATCTGTGCTTTGCTCTATTGATAGAAGCTACTTCCCACCAACAGTGACCTTAATCTCGATTTTGCTGACAAAAGACATTTCCTCCTGCAGATTGACTGTTTCCTACAAATCCTGGACTCTTTCCAACTGACCGAGGCACAACTTCTACTGTTGGATAATTTCCAGTTCAAATAGTTATTTTCCATGCACACTGAACTGAAACCATACGCAGATAGATTTCACTCTGCAAAAAAACAAGGAAAGGAGCACAAACAATTGAGGAATGGGGGAAGAATGAACTCCAAGCCAGGTGTATATCAAGTATTCAAAATGTACCTCTTTGACCGTGCTTTTGGTTATCTATTAGACAGAATATCCAATCTTTCTTATTTATAAAATTACCTCTTGGAAGTATTGGAATAAAATAGAACATTATAACAATGAATAGTGTTCAC